CGGGGAGACCTCTTGTGACCCACCAAGCATTGACCCAGCCCGTGGAGGATACCAGAGGGATGTGATCTGTGGGACCCAAACGCATGCTGGCTGTCACTGTCTGGACCAGGCCAGGGTCGGGTTTGAGAGTGGGGCTGAGGGGGTAGCAGGCAGTTGCCCCACGCGTGTGGGGAGGAGTCTATGACCGTGCCTGCTCACTAGGGTGGGGGCTCAGGGAGACGCTGAAATAGCACAGCGGCTTACACACGGAGAAAACGATCCTCTTGTCCTCCGACCAAGACCCGATACTGGTCCCAGACGCCCAGCTAGACTGAGCCCCACAGCCCTGCCCCGCATCACCAGCCACCAGCTGCACCCTGAGTTATCCCCGCCGAGTCCCGGATCTCGACCCTTCTCTGGGCTGAGAGCTCTGGTCTGGGGCTCAAAAGGAATCCCGATCTCATTAGCCATCCACCAAAGGAGTCCACGTGGCTCTCCCAAAGGGACAGAGTGAAACGATGTGGGGGGCTTGGTAGGACCCTTTTCCAACGTGGGGCTGTTGACCTTCGGTCCTGCTGCCCAGGGCCCCTGACCAGAAGTGGAAGCTCCAAAAGCCCAGGGCAGCCATCCAGGGGCTTCCCTCCTGGGTACCCATAGCCTCACGCTCTCCCAGGAGAAGCCCACCCCACGGATGCCCAAGGCCGGCCTCCCCTCTTTTCTGCTTGGTAACTGGCGTCTTTTCTTGGTCTGTGTGGGCAGCTTGCTGAGCACAGCTGCAGACAGGCTATATTTAGCCTCTTTAATGAGCTCAGGGTGGCAGACGCCTGCCTGGGGATCACTTTCCTTGTGTGCGCGCGCACTTGCCTATGCTTGGCATGGCCCGTTCTTGGGTTGCGCGTGCGGATGCATCTTGCGTGTGCCTGCGCCTTCTGTGCGTGGGTCTGCGTTAGTGCGCCCACTGTGCACGGCTGCATCTCATTAAGCTTTGCATACCAGCGTGGCCAACGGACGTATACAAATCTCTCTGCGGTGTCGGCGCGCCGCTGAGGCTTCGTACAGCATCTGCGAGCGCAAACCAAGAGCA